AATAAAAACAATACAAAACCATTCCAATAGAACACTTCCTACACAAAGAAAGAACTTCAAACATAGACAACAAAAAACCTATTTAAAGTTTCTATCTTACAAAAAACTTAAAATTTTAAAGAGATAAAATATATGGAAGCTATACTCATTCACTAAAAAAATCCAAAAATAAACAGAAACAAAGGATGGTACATGTAACTAAATTCCTATTCGAACACACACATCAAACCTGGTACCCTTAATATTGATATCCTGTGGATCAACTAAATTCACATTCGAACACACACACACATCATACCTGGTACCCTTAATACTGATATCCTGTGGATCAACTTTACCCTTAATATTGATATCCTGTGGATCAACTAAATTCCCATTCGAACACACACACACATCATACCTGGTACCCTTAATACTGATATCCTGTGGATCAACTTTACCCTTAATATTGATATCCTGTGGATCAACTAAATTCCCATTCGAACACACACACACACACATCATACCTGGTACCCTTAATATTAATATCCTGTGGATCAACTTTACCCTTAATACTGATATCCTGTGGATCAACTTTACCCTTAATATTGATATCCTGTGGATCAACTTTACCCTTAATACTGATATCCTGTGGATCAACTAAATTTCCATTCGAACACACACACACATTATACCTGGTACCCTTAATATTGATATCCTGTGGAACAACTTTGGCAAAATATTAGGTCGTCATGATTTAATGTCGCTTTTTTTTAGATGAAAAACCCGAACAACTTATATATTAAAACAAAACATTTATTAAATGAAATAGTCTTCATTCTTATTGATGATGCTTTTCCATCTTACAATCAGGTTGTTAATGCCCTGATTAAAGAAATCACTTGGCTTTGAAGCAAAAAACATGCCGATGTCCTCTTTAACACCTTCCACATTTGCATACGTTTTCCCATTAATCTAATGGTAATCTAATGGTGCCATATCTGGAGAATATGGTGGGTGGGGGGAGAACTTTCCAACCCATCTCCATAATCTTGTGTTGCATCAAACGTGCCACATGTGGACGTACATTGTTTTAGAGAAGAACATCTTTCCGATTGATGAGTGAAGGGCTTGATATAAACGTTCCAGTTGCTGACTATATATCTCTGCATTGACAGTTCGCTGTGGATTGAAGGGTTCGAAATGAATCACTCCTTTGATGCCCCACCAAATGCAAAGCATCACTTTCTGTGGATGAAGTCCAGGTTTTGGGGTTGGGAGTGGTTTTTGTCTAAGACTGAGCCATTGTTCTTGGCATTTAGTGTTTGCTTAGAGAATCCATTTTCATCACCAAATGGTTCATGCGCATTACGCAACGTTCACATATTGGAAACGATGATTATCGGAGAGTTTGTGAGGCACCCAAACACCCTTATGGAATTTTCCCATATTCCTTAGATGTTTACGTATTGTTTTATGAGAGACATGTAATTTAAGGGCCATTTCACGTGCAATGTATTACAATTTTGAAAGGTTTGAAATCGAGCTAAATTATATTTTTAATTTAGTAGTTAAATTGTACTTTTGATTTAGCAGTTAAGTAAAAGCAGATATATAGTCAGTTTATGATATTTGCCAAAAAAATTGATACCCCCAGTTTTTTTTTTTTTTTTT